CCGCGGTGCACAGGGACTGAAGCGGCACCGTGGCTGGCAGCGCGGGCCACCGCTCTGCGCCCACATAGGACAAGGAAGTATGGATAATCCTTCGCCTTGCTATTTTTTTCCTCTCACGTGATCTTGTTTTTGGACTGCTATTTTGGGGCTGGACTCCAGCCCAGGTGAAAGACAAGGATTTAATCCAGCCTGCCTCTCCCATTGCCCGGAGGGCCTCCCAGGACCTCTGCCTGCCCGCCCGGAGGATGGGGTTAAACCCTGCTGCCGGCTCCGGTTCGGTGTGTGCTTCCCAGCCCTTTCTCTCTCTCGCTGCAAAGCCATTTCTGTCCACAGACTGCTTCTGTGCAGTTGGAGGATGATGTCAAACAGGCTGCGGTGTGCATGCCGTGCCCGGCTGCGCCTCCACCCCGTCCCGTGGGCACCCTCTGCCCTGTGTTCCCCAGGGCTCTTGCTGGGACTCGGCACAGCTGCAGAGTCAAAGTCTCCCCAGCACTGTTTGCCCTCTTTCTGCCCGTTTCTCCCCCCCCCTCCCCCCAAAACAGCCTGTCAGGAAGCTGACGGGAGATAAATAAAAAAAAAATGCTCACAGTTTGCAGCAGCCTTGACATAAACTGATGTGAGGCGTGACCCCGCAAACTGCTCATCGTCCCCCCTGCGCCGGCTGCGAGCATCCCACCAGTGCTTGGAGGAGATGGGTGTGCATGGACATGGGGGAGGCGGGGGGCTGCTGGGGGTCCCCCCGCACGATGTGCAGGAGGCCAGACCCTGCACTGCAGCGTGCACGTCCTGCCCATCCCTGCCGTGGGGCCTTCTCTGGGGACAGGTCTTTGGGGACATCCTGGTGTCTCCGGCCCCACACGCTCAGCACCGGCAGGGCTGACTATTTTTATCCCATTTATGTCTTCCAGCCCCCTGGGTGAAGGCTGGGTGGGTGCCAGTGGAGCGCTGGGGAAGGGCAGCCTGGTTCTGCCGGCTCGGCGGGTGGCAGGAGGTACCCCTGCGCGGGGAGGAGTGGGGCAGAAAATGAACGGCTGGGACGCGGCACTGCATCTCACCCGTCCCCATGTGCACGAGCCCCGCGCGGACACAGCCGTGCCCCTTCACGGTGGGTGGCAGGAGGAGCGGATGCTGTCACGGTGTATTCGGTTGCCTAAATTGGGTCTTTACATGAATAAAAGCTTCCTGTGCTGAAGGCCAGAGATACCGGTGTGACGGGGCTGATCCCGCTGGGGACGTTCCACACTGTATAGCCAGCCCAGGGCAGGGACCGGGGGGGAAGGGGCTTGTTGCAGCTGGGGGAGGGTGTCTGCACAGGCACACCTTCGCCCAGACAAGCTGGAGTCCTGGAGAAATTCAGGAGAAACCCGAATTTCCTTCTCCGTAGGCAGGCTCCCCAGTGCAGCTGCGGAAGGAGCCGGTTTCAGCAGCCAGCACTGAGCCGCGCAGCACCGCGGGCAGGCGGCACACGGCACCACGGGTCGGGTGAAGGATGGGACCCAGGACGCGAAACTTTAGTCGAAGGTATGGCCTGGGTTACCGGGCAGTGGGCTATTCCAGATGCGTGGTAGGTGAGTGAAAAATGCAGGTCCAAGAATTAGATACCCCTCCCTTTCGGAGTCTATTTCACAGTCTTTAGATAACGTGTAAAATTCTTTTCTTTCTCCTGCTTTCCACTAGCCAGTTTTATATGCAATAAGGAATTGCTCGCTGGCACCTATTAAATGCTCTGTTCTCTTTGGTTTTTTTTTGGGGGGGGC